TCTGAATTTACGGATACATTTTAGACAAGTGTTATACGAGTATCGAACATTGATTCTTAAAGTGTTGAATCATAGAAAAATAACATTTTTCTAGGGGGGCATATGTTTGAATTTTCATTTCTTTAAATTTTTAGACACATGTCGTATGAGTCTAATACAAGGGTCGGACACCGATGCGTGTTAGACACTGTGACATGTCTACTCTTAGTAGGCTGAATCACGATTGGAAATAATATGCGTAATAATATTAGCTATATTGTTATCTAAGTAAGGTTTTAAAAAATAACCTGTTATCACAAAAATGACAGTAAAAATACGGTCGATACCGATAACATTATTTATCATTTTTATGATATAGATCATATTATCATTAATTTACACAGTGTTGAAGCTCCATAAGCTTCCACAAGCTGCATTTAGAAGCTGCATTTAGAAGTTGCTTTTAGAAGTTGAACACCATAATTTAATGTAGTTTTGCCATATCATATCCCACCTAAGATAAAGTTTGTTACAGTTAGTTAAGGGTTCTTAGATCCTAAGCTTCAATATAACCACTTGTTTAACTAACTTAATCAAATGAATGAATGACATTTTGCTTCCAATTATCTCTTTTCTCTATTTTCATTCATCTTCATCGTGATTTGTGAAAATTTCATGATGGTATTAGAGCTCTTCTGAGCTCTGCTGTACATCGCTTTCATCCAATGGTTCTTGTTGATTTCAATATTAGAGCCTACACCTTCGTCGGTGCTCCGATTCAAAATCAGTTGCTACAACCTGACATTGTGTACTATGTTTATCCTTCAAATGGACCTTCTTCTGTTTTGATCAAACATGTGTTAACACATTCGAATTATTATGCATGAGGGAGATCCATGCGATCTACACCAGAAGGAAAGAAAAAAAATGATTTTGTTGATGGTTCCATTCTAATTCTAGAGGAATTTGATCCAAGTTTTAAAGCTTGGAATCGCTGCACCATGTTAGTACACACGTGGATTATGAATTCACTTGAAGAATTCATAACACAAAGTATCATTTTCTTGAACGCCATTGATGTTTAGAATGAATTTAAGGAGAATTTTTCACAAGATGATTACATTTGTATCTTTGAATTACAATGTGAAAATTTTAATTTAAAGTAAGATTCACGATCGATTTCTGAGTATTTTACAGATATAAAGGTTCTTTAAGAAGAATTTGAAGCCTACTTTCCTACTCCTATATGCTGGTGTCTACATCGTTGTGTATGTTATAAAAGCTTGAGTAATGCTAAGCAACAACATGAAGTTACACGCTCAATTCAATTTCTTACTGGCTTGAATGACTCGTTTGATATGATTCGCTCTCAGGTCTTGTTAATGAATCCTTTACCTAAAATCAACAGATTTTTTCTACAGTGATGCAAGATGAACGACATATCAAAGTCTTGGTTCCTTATGAGTTTGAGATTCTCATTAATGTTGTTAATTAAAAGAAGTCTCAAGGCAGAGGGTGTGGCAATGGTTTCTCATCCTTTAGAAATAAGAAAGCATGCACACATTATGGAAAAATGGACACACAATTGATACATGCTATAAGAATCATGGCTTTCCTCCTCACTTTGGCCAAGACAATGTTGCATCTAATAATTCTTCACTTGAAGAGAAAGATTATGTTAATGATTCAAAAAGTTATAAAGGAAATAATTCTTACACTTTTATCAAAGATCAATATGACCAGCTTGTGAATTTGTTGCATTCATCAAGTTCCATTGGAAATTCAGGTGCATTCTCTAGCAAAGTGAACATGGCTTCTTATGCTATTCCTCATGTTACACCAGGTATCTCCAGAATTTTCATTATCTGAATTATGTTAAGATTGGATCATGGCTTTTGGACTCTAGCGCTACTGATCATATATGTTCATCCATGATTTTTTTATTCTTATCAATATATAACACCTGTTAACATTAGATTAACTAATGGTAATATGGAAAAGGTAAAATGATTTGGGAATGTTATTTCCTCACTAGGTTTCACAGTGCACAACTTTTTGTTTGTACTTAAATTTAATCTGAATTTATTTCCAGTTTCAAAATTATGTTTTGATCTTAATTGTGTTGTGACTTTTAATAATGCAAAATGCTTAATTCAAGAAAAGAAAATCTCGAGGATGATTGGTTCGACTGATTTAGTTGAAGGATTGTATTATCTAGCCATCACACAAGCCTCACATCAAGCCAACATTACCACATCACAAGTTCCACCTCAATCTATCTTTATTTGCAAGATAGCTCAGTGGCATTTCAGATTGGGTCATTTATCAAATAGGAGACTTAGTAGTTTACATAAAACCATGCCTTTTGTAACTATAGACAAGAATTTTGTTTATGATATATGCCATTATGCAAAATACAGAAAATTTCATTTTCAACTTAGTGAAAATAAAGCTACTCAATGTTATGAGTTGATCTATTTCATACATTTGGGGACCTTTATCTATTCCATATATACATATTTTGAGAAGATCCAATAGACTTACTCAAAAGCCTATCCATTTATTAGATTTCATTTGCAATCTTTCAAAGAAATTAGTTAATAATCATTCTTTAGGTATACTTTACCTATTGAAAACTTTCATTCATTAAATAATGTATTTACTGCGCAACAACATTTTGCTTTGTCTATCATTGTGCCAGGTGAGCCAGGCATTTAAAAAGAGGGAAGCAAGCATGAATGCTGGATCAAAGCTAAGAACTCTGAGATAGAGGCTTTGAAGCATAACAAAACCTAGATTTTTGTTGATTCTCCACCACATGTCAAACCCATTGTAAGCAAATGGGTTTACAGAGTGAAACATAAAGCTGATTGCTCCATAGAAATATACAAAGCAAGACTTGTAGCTAAATGTTATAATCAAGTTGAGGAGTTTATTTCCTTGACATATTTTCACTTTGTGGCAAAGATCACTATTGTCAGGACCTTGTTGGCATTAACATCAATCAATTCATGGCTTATACTTAAGCTAGATGTAAATAATGCCTTTCTACATGAAGGCTTATATAAGGATGTATACATGTTCGTGCCACATGGTGTTACTAGTCCCAAAACAAACCAAGTGTGCAAATTGCTAAAATCCTTGTATGGATTAAGACTAGCTAGCAAGAAATGGTATGAGAAGCAGACATATTTTCTTATTACTCAAGGCTACAAACAATCAAATTCTTACCATTCCTTGTTCACTCTTCACACAAACTCACATTTCACTGCCTTGTTAGTGTATGTCGATGATATCACCCTAGCTGGAAATTCTATGGATGAAATCAACAGGATGAAGATCACACTTGACACTATATTTAAAATAAAAAAATCTTAGAAAGCTGAAATATTTTCTAAACATAGAGGTTGCACATTCTAAAGTTGGAATTAACATATGCCAAAGAAAGTATTGTTTGAATTTGTTAAAAGACACATGCCTTCTTGGTTCTAAGCCTTCCAAAACTCATCTCGATCCATTGTCAAATTACATCAATACTCAAATGCACCTTTTGAAGACATACTCAATTATAAAAGATTGGTTGGGAAATTTCTTTATCTCACAACCACTCGAACTGACATTGCTTTTGTGACATAATATTTGAGTCAATTCCTTGCATCACCAACCATTACACATTATGACACAACTTGCAGAGTTGTGAAATACTTGAAATGTTCACTTGGGCGAGATTTATTGTTTAGAAGAATTTTAAATCTTTAGCTTTTTGGATTTATAAATGCTGATTGGGCTGAATGTTTAGATACTAGCAGATCTACTTCAGGCTATTATTTCTTTATTGGGCACTATTATTTCTTCCTTGATTTTTTGGAGAGCTAAGAAATAACAAACTATTTCCCGTAGCTCTTCTAAACCTGAGTATCGGGCATTATCTTTTGTAAGTTATGAACTTCAGCGACTTCTCTATTTTTTTACAGGATCTGGGAGTCCAATGTAGTAAGCAACATGTACTAAATTGTGATATCCAAAGTGCAATCTATATTGCACCTACTTCAGTTTTTCACGAGCGCATGAAGTATTTTGAGATTAATTGTCATTTCGTGAGAGACAAGTTACTACAAGGAGTATTCAAATTGTAACCTGTCAAATCCCAAGTCCAACTTACTGACTTCTTCACAAAGGCAGTGTCACCCAAAAGCTTTAATTACTTCATTTCCAAGCTTAACATGCTTGATTTATATCTTGCTAAGCTTGAGAGAGGGTGTTGAAGCTGCATAAGCTTTCAGAATCTGCATTCAGAAGCTGAACACCATAGTTTAGAGGTTGTTATAATTAGTTAGAGGTTGTTAGATCCTAAGATTCTATACAATCACTTATTGTAAATAACTTAATCAAATAAATGAATGAGATTTTTCTTTCATCTATCTCTTTCTCAATTTTCATTCATCTTCATCATGATGTGTAAAAACTTCATGACACATCAACAACCGCAATCAATATCACAATGTCTGTACCAACCAAAATCATAAAAGTCTTTACGAGACACAATCGTTAAGTAAGATCACAATCTTATTAGGTCCTTACACATATGTATTCAATTCAACCGCATATAGTTCAACTTGCTCTCCTACACCACATTTTTACCGTACAACACTGCTATTATTTTTTTCCTGTTGTACGTTGAATTACAGCTATAGCAAGCCATCATCTATCATTTCTTGTGAAATGATGCATTCCTTTTAGTTTAGCTAGTGGATCCTCTGATTAATCATGATTAGAGAAAATTGTCACCCTAACATAAATAAGACTATATCCTTTTAAAAACTACTAATTTTTTGTGCGCAACATAGACTAATTTTTTTAAGTTGAATTGAAAGATATTCAAAATTTCTATTGTTATGCATGGTATCATGGTAATCATATTATTATTCTCATTCAAACTTTTTGGTGACATAAGCGAGAAATAGTTTTCAAAATTACTAGCCTCACAAGAAGTTATAAGATCATGATTGTTTTAATCTAAATCAGACCATTACTAAATGCCGTCTAGCATCAATTCTTAGATCTTCCTTCATTTTTCTGATGAAATCTTCGAACTTTTTGTTTAACTCTTCTGTACTTAACATACAACTTTCTTCTTCTCCTTCTTCTACATAATTTTCTTCTTCCTCTTCTTCTATATTGTGTTCTTCATTTAGAACGTAATCAAATTCTGACCCTTTATCTTCCTCTTCGTCTTCTACATCAAATAGTTCAACTTCTCCTTCTTCTTTTTCTACCTCCTTCATCTCTTCTACTTTTTCTTCCTCTTCTTCAGCACTTTGCTCATCTGGTTCACTAGTTCTCTTCTCAGCTTCTCTCTCCAACTTTGGCTCGTTGACCTCAACATCAAGGATGTGAGATTGTGAACAATCTTCTTCTTCAATATACTGTAATGATGATAAAACTTCTGTGTTATATGAAGGTTTATTATCATCAGTATCACAAGAAGAACTTGAGAAAGATCTGGTTAAACCAACAAAAACAAGAAGACCATTACAAAGGAGGAACATGATATTCTTGTCTATGTTGTGAGTATAGAGTTGAAAAGGTAAAGTTGAGAAATAGAATTTGAAGAAATGGAGGAAAACAAATAAGGAAGAAGGTGAAAAGATGAAGGAAAACACTGATATTGAAATGAATAATTGTGTCAATTTAATTACATTGGAATTATCTTTCATTCCCTGAATCAGTGTTGATATATTTTGGTCTTTTAGCTGACAACTAATGTCCATAGTGTTCATTCTGTTGATGAAATGAGAGAGGTTGGTTGGTAATTGGAGATAGTTTGGTGAATTAAAGGCTCGAAGGACTTATTATATATACCGATGAATGGTGTGTGGAGAGGGTGTCTCCATCACGATTGTAATTTTATTTTAAAAATTGAATATTCTCTACACACAACTATAGAGATTAATCTTTAAAAAAAATTAAAATAATGATCAGCACTAAAATGCTTTTTAAAAAAACTTAACATAGGCTTAATTGTCATAAAAAATACTTGAATCTTAAAATTAGTAACCCATTACACAGGCTTAACTGTTTTTATAAATACCCATGGCTGCAAAATTATTATTTGGCAGATGGCTTGTTAGGCAGTATGACAAAACATACATCTATTCATGAAGATATTTTGTTATGTACATGATAGGTACTTGAAGATATTTTGTTATGTACATGATAAGTACTTCAAGCGTAAGTAGTAGTAGCTAGTTGTCAGTTGTCATAGAAATATGTAACTTTTATCTTCTTCGTATTGAACAAACTGAGGTTTGATTGTCATGTAGCTTTCATGCCATCCAAATTGAGGGGTGATGCAGGAGAAAGGGCCAACATTATTCTAGCTGTTTCGACCGACTTCAAGTGTACGAGGATGTACGGTTTGTTTTGGTTAAGCTGAAGAGTCTAGAAATCAGAATTTAACACCGTAATTCACCATTAAAATTTGTTGAAATTTCGACGAATCTTTGATATTAGAATTTCACATAAAATTTAGAGTATTTTTGAATCAATCTTAATAAATAAGAATCAATTTTTATAATTGATTTCTCCTCTTGTTCTTCACTCTTCACTCGAGTGAATCAACGGTTAGAACATACAAAAACTATAACGGTGAATTAATAGAGAATTGAGTTAATTTGGAGAAGATGAAATTAAGAGATTGAGAGAGAGTAATTGAGGGTGAGAAGAATAATTGACATTAACTATATTATGGGAGTTTACGGTGCCTTTTATATGACAACTACACACAAACAATTGGATACAACAAAAACAGTTTAATCAAATAAGCTGATACAAACAGAAAACTGAAAAAACTGAACACGCATCCGTAACCGATTATGCTAAATCCTATAATCGATTACGAGTCTGATACTTGCACCCCAGACCATTTTAACACTCCGTAATCGGTTACGCCAAAATCTGGTTTTAACACACCACCTCATTTCACTTGTTCCAAATCCAGCATGCTCAAACTTTTCTTCAACCTTTTGAACACCTCATTTGTTACCCCCTTGGTCAAAAATCTGTAACTTGGTCTTCGCTTCGACAATATCCCAATCGTAACTTACTTTCACTCACTAGCTCCCTCAAATAATAAAATCGCATCTCTATGTGTTTGCTTCTTCCGTATGCAATCAGATTCTTAGCAAGGTTGATTGCAGAAACATTATCAATCAGAAGTGTAGTAGCCTTACCCTCATTGTTACCCAACTCCTTCAATAGATTCATGAGCCACATAGCTTGACACGCACACAACGAAGCCGCAATATACTCGGCCTCACAAGACGAGAGTGCTACCACAGGTTCCTTCTTTGAACACCAAGAGATTGGTGTCCTACCAAACATAAAGATGTACCCATTCGTTGACTTTCGATCATCCTTATCACCATACCAATTGGAAACGGTGAAATCAAGTAAGTCCATTTTAGGTCCGTATCCGATGCGGGGAAAATAATTTCATAACCAAGAGTTCCTTTAATGTATCTAAGGATTCTCTTGACTACTGCTAAGTGTGACATTTTCGGTCACTCCATGAATCTACTAGCAATACTGACACTAAATGCCAAGTTCGATCGCGTATTGCACAAATACTGCAATGATCCAATCAATCTCCTATATTGCGTTGGATCCACATCTTGCTCATCCTCACTCTTGGACAGTTGCAACCTTGCTTCACATGGTGTAATGATAGCATTTCAATGCTACATTTCACACCTCTTCAAGATCTCTAGAGCATATCTCCTTTGATGCATGAGCAGTTCCATTTTTAAATTATGGAACTTTATGCCAAGGAAATACGTCATAACTCCAAGGTCCGTCATCTCAAATTCATCCATAAGTTCACTCTTAAACTTAGAGATACTCTTCTCATAGCTTCCGGTAATTAATAGATCATTCAAATATAAGCAAAGAATGATCACACCATCATTTGAATCCGATCTCACATAAACTCCATATTCTGACACACACCGCTTGAAACCAAAATCAATAAGAAAGTCATCAATGCGTTTGTTCCAAGCTCTTAGAGCTTGTTTCAAACCATATAAAGCTTTATGCAATTTGTAGTACTTCAACTCGTGATTCTTCACTACAAATTCAGGGGGCTGCTCAACATAAACCTCTTCATTAAGTGGACCAGTCAGAAACACACATTTGACGTCCATTTGATATATTTTCCAATCATTGTTATTCACAATGCCAACAACTAATCGGATGGTTTCAAGCCTAGCCAGAAGTGCAAACACTTCCTCAAAGTCTATACCTTCACGTTGCAAGAATCCCTTCGCTACCAATCAAGCCTTATGCTTGATCACCTCGCCTTTGATATTTTCCTTCACTTTATAGACCCATCGTACACCTATTAGCTTATTTCCAAGCGGTAAGTCAACCAACTCCCAAGTACCATTTTGTTAATAGATTCTAGCTCCTCCTTCATTGCACATATCCACTTTGGATCGCTTAGAGCCTTTTCAGTGTTCACTGGTTCAGATTCGACCATAAGCGCAAAGTGAACAAAATCACCATCATCATTAATTTTGTTATCCTGAAATACTTTACCTTCTTTGAGTTTCTGAGGCAAAACTCTTTGCCTTGTTGGTCGTCTAACATTTCCCTCTTTTCGGCTTTGACCTGTTGCTGTTCTGTACATACACAATTTTGAAATTTCTGATTTTCCAGCCCGTAACTAGTTACGCCTTCTGCAAAACCAGTTCCAGCAGATTCAGAATCCAAAAATACATGTGGTAATTGATTACCACTTTTCCCGTAATCGGTTACGGAGCCTGCATCAGCAAATTTTCTACTGTTGTCAACCTTTTGTAGCTCGTCGACCACAAGATCTCAACTTATCACGATCCTCTTGTTTGCAAAATCAAACAACTTATAACCTCTAGTAGGGTGATAACCAACAAGTAACATCATCTCACCTTGTCGTCCAACTTCTTTCAGATCTGACCTGAAACGTGTCGAAATGCTATCGAACCAAAAACCTTCAAATGAATCACACTTGGTTTAAATCCAAACCATACCTTTTCTAGAGCCACCTTACCAAGCTTCTTTGTAGGGCACCTATTTAACAACTAAGCGACTGTAGAAACGGCTTCACCTCATAGTTCCTTCGACAAGTCTTTACCCTTTATCATGCTTCGAACCATGTCCATTATTGAACGATTTTTCCTCTTGACAATACCATTCTGTTGTGCCGTATAGCGTGGCACGCATTATCCCCTCTTCATCACAATACTTTCCAAATTCATTCGAGGTATACTCACCTACACCATCCGTTTTGAGAATCTTGAGGTTTCGACCACATTGTCGTTCAACCATGGACTTGAACCGTTTGAACACATCAAATATCTCATCTTTCCTTTTGATTAGATATATGCATAGCTTCCTACTAAAATCATCAATAAATGTGACAAAATACCTATTGCCATCATACAAATCGACTTGCATCGGTCCACACACATCGGAATACACCACCTCAAGATGATGCTTGGTCCTATGACCTGCATCCTTGCTGAAATTACTCTTATACATCTTCCCTTGTAGACACTCTTCACATATCTCAGCTGGAGTGTTGATTCTTGGTAGCCCAATCACCATACCATTTCTTTGTAACGCGTCAAGATCACGAAAATTGAGATGTCCAAGACGGTAGTGCCACAACCACTCTTCTCAACTTGCCGCTGTAGCTAAATACCTATGCTCCATCACTTTCAACTCCACCTTGAAACTTCTATTGGCAGCCATAGGAGCCTTAAGGATCAAAACAGCGTTTGCATCCACAATGCACAAAATCTTGTCTTCCAAGCAAATTTTATAACCCCTCTCAAGCAATTGGCCAATAATCAAGAGATTAAACTTAATTCCCATAATATACAAAACATCCTTGATCAAAGAATGTCCACCATCTTCTTTTTGATCAAAACATCACCGACACCTTTGGCCGCAAGAGTGGTATCATCTACGAGTTTTACTCTACTTTTTGCAGCTTGATTGATTTGAACAACCGGAATCCAAGTGCAATTCATTTCTTCATTGAACTCCATCTTAAACCGTAATCATTATATTTTGCTCCAAATGTATTTCTGCAGCATTTTTCGACCTGCTCCAGCTGCTGTCCCGCAATTGACAGCTGCTACTGCTGCTGCCCAACACCCTTTAATGTTATAAGAGCATATTTTCATCACCTACCTCTTTCCTTGTAACATTAGCTTCATCACTTTAATTCTCCCTTGACCTCGCGCGATACTCTTTTGCAAAATGACCAAATCTATGACAATTGTAACACTTCCACTTACTCTTGTCAAACTTCTTAAAGTTGTTGCCTTGACCACTATCTTTGGAGCTGCTCTCACCCTTTTGCACCATCAAAATCTTCGAATTTTGTGGATCATTTCCACCAAAATTCTGTGAATTTTGCTTCCCCTTCGAATTCCATTTTCCTTTCCGTCTTCTACTATTCTCGTTGAGCCGTGCAAGCAAAACAGCCTCCGCTTTAGCTTTATCACTTCCTCTCTCATCCATCTGTTGCTCATGAGTCTCAAGGGAGCTTTGAAGCTCATCTTTTCTCAACTTCGCAAGATCCTTCGACTCTTTGATAGACACTACAATGTTTTCAAATCTTGACGTTAAAGAATGCAAGATCTTCGACACAATATTCTGCTCAAAAACAGTTTCTCCGCAAGCCTTGATTTGGTTCACTAAATGCGTAATATGCGTCACATAATCG